GCTACCAATGTATAATTATCTATTCTCTGGACAGCTTCAGTTATTTCAATTAAATTTTGGAACAATAACACTGCTTCCTAAGAAAACAGATGCGGTGAGAATTGAGCAGTTCAGGCCGATCTGCCTTCTCAATGTTAGTTTCAAAATTTTCACCAAGGTTGGGACTAATCGGCTCACACAGATTGCGCTTTCTGTGGTGCAGCATTCCCAAACTTCTTTCATGCCGGACAGAAACATCCTAGAAAGGGTGGTGGTCCTTCATGAAACGCTCCATGAAATCCACTCGAAAAAATTAGATGGAGATGTTTTTAAGGTGGATCTCGAGAAAGCGTACGATAAGGTCAAATGGCCATTCCTTCAACAGGCACTGCGTATGAAAGGTTTTGATGAAGCCTGGTGCCGCCAGGTTGTATCGTTTACGCAAAAAGGGAGTGTTGGAATTAAAGTGAATGATGAAATAGGTCATTATTTCCAGACACATAAAGGCCTGAGACAAGGGGATCTGATGTCCCCTATCATGTTCAACATTGTAGTTGATATGTTGCCAATTATGATAAGAAGGGCTAAGGAAGCTGGTCAAGCGGGTGGCCTGGTTGCTCATCTCGTTGATGGAGGTGTGTCCATCCTTCAGTGCGTCGACGATACAATCATCTTTATGGAGCATGACTTGGCCAAAGCGAGAAATATGAAGTTGTTGTTATGCCTATTTGAACAATTGACCGGGTTAAAGATTAACTTTCACAAAAGCGAGTTGTTCTGCTTTGGTAGAGCCAATGATGAACAAGAGGCATATAGACAATTGTTTGGGTGCGATTTGGGGGCTTTACCTTTCACATACTTAGGAATACCAATCCACCATCGTAGGCTGACAAACAGAGAATGGAAGTGCATCGAGGACCGTTTTGAAAAGAAACTGAGTTGCTGGAAGGGCAAGCTCATGTCATACGGAGGCCGATTAATTCTGATAAATTCGGTTCTCCTGAGTATGTCTATGTTTCTTTTGTCGTTTTTCAAAGTCCCAGTTGGAGTTAGGAAAAGACTGGACTTTTACCGATCACGATTCTTTTGGCAGGGTGACGAACTAAAAAGAAAATAATGTCTAGCCAAATGGGATATCATCTGTAGACCGAAAGACCAAGGGGGTCTTGGTATCGAGAATCTTGAAGTTAAGAACAGATGTCTTCTCAGTAAGTGGCTGTGGAAGTTATCACGTGGGACTGATGCCAGTTGGGCGCAAATTCTCCGTAGCAAGTATCTTCAAACCAAAACTTTGTCTCAGGTGACAGTAAGGCCGACTGACTCACCTTTTTGGAAACAGCTTATGAAAGTCAAATTATCCATGTTTAATAGGACAAAGTTTATTATTGGTAACGGTGCTAGTACGCGATTCTCGGAGGATACTTGGCTCGGAGAGACACCCCTAGCCATTCAATACCCGTCTTTGTATCGTATTGTTCAACGACGTGAGGTGTTCGTTGCAACTGTATTTCAATCTATCCCCCTTAATATTCAGTTCAGAAGGGTGCTAGTGGGCAATTGTTGGGAAGAATGGCTCCGTCTAGTAAGTAGACTAATGGAAGTTCAGCTTTCTCAACAACCCGACGAATTACGCTGGAAGCTTACTAGGTCTGGAGTATTTTCAGTTAAATCAATGTATGTTGATGTTACCAATTCAAGCTTGATTCCTAGTTTCAAACATGTTTGGGCTGTCAAAGTTCCTTTGAAAATCAAAGTGTTTATGTGGTTTGACCATAAACAAGTTATTTTAACCAAGGACCACTTGACAAAGCGTAATTGCACAGGACCTACTAGGTGTAGTTTCTGTGATCGGGATGAGACGATCAAACACCTTTTTCTTGATTGCGCGCTAGCCAAAGTTTAATGGCGGACGGTCCATATTGCTTTTATTATTACTCCACCAAATTTTGTCAACATGTTATTTGGAACGTGGCTTAACGGGATAGAGCCCGTTTTAGCGAGACATATTCGCGTAGGAGTCTGCGCCTTGTTGTGGGCTCTCTGGAATTGCAGAAATGATTTGGTTTTTAACATGACAACACACATTCATTTTTTGCAGGTTATTTTCTGAGCCACGGTGTTGATTCGTTCGTGGTCGCTACTCACTCCGACGAAGGCCAGGGAGCGTTTGGTTACTGGATCTATCCGCTGGGAGATGGTAGCTCGGGATATGTTTAACCGGTTTGGATGGCGGTCATATAATAGGATAGGCAATTAGTTTACCTATCTCTCTTTTTGCCAGCCGGTTGTGGTGTCCTTTATTTGGCTAGTCTGTCTTCTAGCCTTTTTGGCTCTGTGTGAGGTCTTTTTTTTTTAGACTTTAAGACTTTGTTGGAACCTATTTATTTATTTAATAAGAGGGCCGTATGCATCGTTCTGATGCATAGGCCGGGGAGCCCCCTTTTCGAAAAAAGAACAGGTCGGGCCTATGCCGTGTGTTGCTGGCACAGCCGTACTAAGGCATTGCCCTACTCCACCATGTATGTGTTTCTTCATGGATGACCAGCTCGGCCCATGAGACGTGTACTCCTTGGTGGGCTTTCCATATTAGTGTGTAAACTGTTTGTGTTTATTTTGGTTGATCTCCGTTCTGAAAAGATGTTTGATTTATCCCGATGTAATGTCGGATATCACAGATCTATGTATGACTGGGGTGACACACACAAAAATGTACTACCTCCGGCTCAAAATATAAGACGTTTTTTACGCTAATTTAGCCTACAAAGATGTCTTATATTTTGAGATGAATTAGTACTAGAAAGACCCAGGAAGATGACCTATCTGCGAACATTTGCAGGAACAAACTAAATTTCGTTAGTGCGGCGGGCAAGAGTCCCAGGGTGAAAGGTAGTGAATCAAGTTCTCTAGCAATGATGAAAGTTAGGATGCGGACTTTTTGCTTTAGTTTTTTTTAGTGAAACCCTTCTTTTAATAAGGAAAGGAGAACATCGAGCAGGCTGAGATAGTTGCACATTGAGCGGCTACGAGAAATGGGAACACAATCGATCTGACCAAGAATATCTACTACTCCCTCCGTTCCTAAATATGTCTTTCTAGAGATTTCAATAGGGACTACATACAGAGCAAAATGACTGAATCTAGACTCTAAACTATGTCTATATACATATGTATGTAGTTCCTATTAGAATCTCTAGAAAGACTTATATTTAGGAATGGAGGGAGTAAGAGAATGATTAAATAACAAGCAAGTAGTGCAAGCAATCTAAAGTTGCAAGTCTGCCAAACAGAAAAAAGTATCTCAATAAAGTGGTATGTTAGGATTTCGAAGACAATTATGAAGTTATTTCTTCCTATGATAGACATGCTGAGACGGAAAGTGTTTGATTTCTCGCGTAGGAAGAAAAGGGCTCATTGCCCTCGTTTATTGAGATGGCAAGTGTTTTATTTCGCTTGAAAGTCAGAAAGAAATAATCGCCCTCGTTTATTGAGATTCCAAGACAATGACGACGTTATTTCTTCCTGTGATAGACATGCTCAGACGAAAAGTGTTTCATTATTCGTGTAAGAAGAAAAGGGTTCATCGCCCTCGCTTATTGAGATGGCAAGTGTTCTATTTCGCATGAAAGTCAGAAAGGAACCATCGCCCTCATATATTGAGATGTACCAGACATGATGAGCGGCAGCTACTGCAATCAGCATTCGACACGTCCGCAAGAAGGATGGCCCGCACCGTGTGTTGCTGACTGACACTGTCGTACTAATGGCACTGATGAACATAGTAAATATCGACCGATGTGATCAGACGGCTGGTGTTTTATTTAGCTTGAATGTCATGAAGAAATCATCACCCTCACTTATTGAATTGTACCAGACATGACGAGCTGCAGCCACTGCAATCAGCACTCGACAAATCTGCAAGCAGGCTGGCCGAGCACCATGTGTTGCTGACGGACACCGTCGTACTAGGGCCAATGATGAACATAGTGTAAAACTGTAAATCTCGACTGACGTGATCAGTATTTCTATTTCGTTTGAAAGTTGGAAAGAAATCATTGCCCTTGTTTATTAAGTTATAGCAGACGTGACGAGCGGCAGCCACTGCAATCAGCACTCGACACATCCACGAGCAGGCTGGCTTGGCAACGTGTGTTGCCGACTGACACGATTGTGCAAATGCCACTGATGAACATAGTGTAAATCCAACCGACATGGTAAGATGGCATGTGCTTTATTTTGATTGAAAGTCAGAAAGAAAGAAATCATCGCCCTCGTTTATTGAGTTGTACCACGCATGACAAGGGGCAGCCTGTGCAATCAGCACTCGGCACGTCCGTGAGCAGGCTGTCCCGCACCGTGTGTTGGTGGCTGACACGGCGGTACTCCATTGCATGCGTTTCTTCAGGGATGTGCAGCTCGGTCCATGTGATGTATGTCCCCTGCTGGGCCATCCCAATTATTTGGTAATCTGATTGTGTTTAAATTTGATAGACCATTTTTCATGAATATTGTTTTGATTGATAGTGATGCAATGCTATAGCTTGATGCACGATCAATGCAACATGCAACTCTAAGCTTGGTCTTCTGACGTACAAATTTTCCGTTGATCTTTTTTTTTAGTTATAAACAGGAATACAATTGAAGTGCTCGTGTACAGAGTTTTTCTAGATAAAATGTAGCACTCGTGGGTAGTTTCCCTTATTAGTTTAGCAAATGAACCGCCTCATTTCGCCATATGCATGCAAATTGAACTGCTCCCTCTGTAAACTGCGTTATTTTGTCTGACCTGATCATGTTCCTCTAATGTCGATTTCAAATCAATTCATTAATTCATTTTACAGCGAGTCTAGCACCTAGATTCTGAACCTGCTACGATTGAATGGCTGTTGTTTCACGGGGAGCAGGCCAGCGTGTCGCTGTCCCCTGTGTTTCTCCCTTCCCTCCCCAAATCTCGCCGCCCACGGTGCCAATGTGGTCACGCATCGCCCTCATCTTCCTCCTCCTAGCGTCTGCCAAGAGATACCATGCGTCTACCACACGGGATTAGCGCGGATCATGTTTGGATTTATTTTATTACAAGAGTATGCTGCTTCCTGAGGACGCCGCCTTGTGTGCACTGCGATATATTCGTGAGCCTATACACACTACATACAAGTAAACAGCGGCAGCTGCAAGCGATGAAGCGCCGGAGCTCCCCCATGGCAGCAGCTGTCGCCATCTTGATCCTCTCCGCCATGGCCATAGTGTCTGCAGCTGCAGCAAATGTCGAGCACACGTTCCTGGTAAGCATGAGGACCCCCTGGTACTAATTTTCTTTGCAGTTTAAGTGTTAATTTTGGCAATAGTATTGGCGTTCGTATGAAAACCAATCGAGCAGGTGAGCCAGGTAAATATGACGCACTTGTGCAACGAGATGCTGGTCACAGTGGTGAACGGGCAGCTTCCGGGGCCGACGATAGAGGTCACTGAGGGAGACTCGGTGACCATTCATGTTATCAACAGGTCGCCCTACAACATTACAATCCATTGGTAGGTAATTCTTTCTTTCTTTCTTTCTTTATTTCAAATCAATTCCGTACCACTAATATTTTTTGTCTGAGATTTGTTCATTTCATCTTCGCATGCAAAAGGGGTGTGTGTG